AAACTCTAGACTCAACCACCTCAGGCACACCTCCATGACTACATGAGGCTTTGGTGGAACATCCAGACACAAGTCATAACATTCTGGTCCCCCCCCAGACTCATGCAAATCCTTTTATGCAAAAAGCATTTTGTCTATCTCTAAGAGTTGTCAAAATCCTAACAGTTTCAGCATTGCTGAGAAGTCCCAAGTTTCTTCTGAGTCCTCAGGCAAACTCTTACCTGTGAGCCCCTCCCTGTACAAATGAAAAGTTAAAAACGCCTAACATTCAGTGGTTCAAGATAAGCATGACCATTCCAAATGCACAAATGGGGATGGAAAGGATCGGGACCAAAACAAGTTCAGAATCCAGCAGGGCATACATTAAGTCCTGCAGTTACAGGTGGAACATCCAAAGCAATCTGTGGTAAGCTGTGAACTCCAGAAGCCTTGTGTGATTCCCCTCCTACAGCATTTCTGGCAATTGTACTCCCATGACTTCTCTCTTAGACCCATTCTGTTCAATTCTTGCAGCTTTCCTTAGATGATCCATGTTCCTGGCTTTTCTAAACTTCTGGGTTCTCCATTGCACCTTTGGCTTTACACTCACATTTTCATACATTGCCCTCTCCAGGACATACTGCCTGGGCTCCCAGGCCTTATTCTGAAATCTGGGTGGAAGCCTTTTTAACCTCAGAACTCTTGCATTCTGCATGCACCTAAAACCACTTCCACATGGGTGATGCCAAGGTATGTTGCTAGCTGGAGCAGTACCCAGGCTTCTCTTGGCTATAGGGGTTGATTTCTTGGATCTCTGTGCACTCTGAACCTGATTCTGAGGAATAATTTCTTTATGCTGCTGCCATTCTGGAACCTGGTGCAGCCACTGACACCATTCTGAAACATAGTGTGACTGCCTCTATTCTGTAACATGGTGCCTCTGTGGCTTTCTCCTCAGAGTGAAGTCTTTTACTTTTGCAATTTTGAGGCTACCAAGCGTGGAGTCCTGCTGCTTCTTGTGATGCCCTCAGGCCATCTTTTTATTCTCCTGTTTCTTCTCAGCAATCAAGATCTCCTCAATGTTTGCAGTTCACAGGTTTACTGAAGCTTCCTTTCTGGTGAAACTCAAAACATTTTAAAATATTGTGCTGGCCTCTTTGCTCTTGATTTTCAACATAGATCTGGCTAGAAGCCACCAACAATAGATATGCCACTGCCTCAATATTTGACTGCCTTGAAATTTTTTCTGCCAGATTAATTGGGCTACTACTCTTAACCTTAGCCTCAGGCAAAGTTTCTGGACATGAGCAAAATGCAGATGAACTTTTGCCAAGCCATAATGTACATCGTTGGATTCCAACAACCAGTGCAGTCCTTCTGAGCAGAAACTTCCTGAGCCTGGACTTTATCAGTTTTAAGATCTTCTGAGCTGTGACCAGGTCTCCCACACAGAATAACCTAAGGCATTCCAACTCTACTCTTTCAGGTGACATCTCTGAACCTTCCAAACTCTTCCCACAAGCCATTCCCAAAGGATCTTTAACCACATGGTCAGCTATATTCATACCAACAACTCCACTCCTCTGGTTACCAAATTCTGACTTAGTTGTTTTTCTTTTGTTGCTGGGACAAAATGCCCAACACCCAAAATGAAGGAAAGAAAGGTTTATTTAGCTCACAGTTTGTCAGTCTGTAATCAGCTAGCTCCAAGGCAGGGTGGTATGGCACAGGGGCAGCCATTCATGGTGGTGGAAAACAGTAAAAGCAACAAGAGCAAAAAGGGAGGAGCACACAAATGAAGACTCTTTCCCTTATGTTGTACGTAGGCTACCGACCCTAGGGTGACGTGGTGGCATTCACTTCCATAAACCCAGCACTAAATAATGAATCAATCACAAACTTTAGATTCAGCCACCTCAAACACAACTCCATGACTGCATAAGATTTGGGGAGAACATCCAGACACAAAACATAATAGAGAGGTAGGATGAGAGGAATACAGGAGATGCTAAAGTTCTGAGGCTCTTGAGAAAAGTTAAGATTAAGTCATTTTGGAGTGATCCGTGAATGCATTAGAGCAGTGTTAAAACACGGGTCATGTTGAGAGCCACTGAAATTGAATTCTGGAGAATCGAGTTAGCAGTTGTTTGACTTTTTTCTTTATACTATTACACATTTGTCTGGTTTTGTGTGTTCAAAGGAGGTATATAATTTGGTTCATTCTTTTAAAAATCCTTGTTCTGGTGTTATGGCTAAAGGACAGGATAAAGGGGACCTAGAAATCATCACCTACAGAGTGAAAGTTCCCATGAGGTATAAACGTGACTAGGAAGGGCATTTAAGCAGTGGGCAGGGGCCAACTTTGGTGGATGGTGGGCAGCCAGACTTGAGAATTTTGGGTAGCAGCTTGATCCAGGGTACATTGCTAGAAGAAGTGTCCTATGTGGAGTGGAATAAAAGATACTTGAGACACAAGACATCAAGTTGCGGAGAGAACATGGTAAGATGGCTCATCCACATGGATGTTGAAACCATCTCGGATTTTGGCAGAAGTGGAATGGAAGGTGAGCCAAGATGAGACGAGCAGGGAAAGCTTGTACAATGGTGAGAGCCATGGGCCTCAGAAACAGAGATGTGCTGACGAAAGGTGAAGGTATAATTGTCTAGACGTAGCATCACATCTGGCCAGGCTAGCTTTTCCTTTAACCCTTCCACACGATCATGTGAGTTGTGCAAGAGAGTGGGCAAGCTTTGACCTTAAGTGTGGCAAGAGCAAATACTGATTTCAGGAAAGAGTCAGGATTCACAGAGGACATGGTTCACTTACTTTGTTCTCTGCTTGGTCTGTGCTGTGGGATGCTACTCCCACCGTCCTGCTGAGATGGATGCTGCTTAGGTTTGTTCTCAGGATGACTCTGCACCTTTCTTCCCTAGACTCTCCCTCTGCAAAGGCAAAAGCAGTAAGATAGAAGAGAGTAGACTCAATCTAAGACTTTCCAACTAGCAACAATCATGGATCGACTTGAATATGTTGCTTTTTTTCATAAAGGGATTTAATAAGCTCTATCTCCACATGCTGTATTTTTATATTTATCATTTTTTTCCTGGGCTCTAAGCCATAGATTCTAATTTTTCTTGAAAAAAAAAGTGGCTATAGATACTTGCAATACAGATCATTTACACTGATTTAGGATTAAGATACTTATAGTAATTTTTGTCTATACTATAAAACCCTGCCATAATTTGTTGTGTTATTGCAAAAGTTCAGCCTTGTAAATGGAGTTACATGGTTGTAAAGGCAGTGACCTCCTGCCACACACACACACACACACACACACACACACACAAATACACACATTCTCTCTCTCTCTTTCTTCCACAAGAATATTGAAATTTCAGAAGATGGGGAAGGAATTTAGATTGGTGAAATGGTATAAAAGATCTAGAAAACAAGTTGTCTTAGTTTGTTTCTTGTCCCTGAAACACAGCATCCCACATCTGCAAACTACAGGATGGGAGGTTTGTTTTGGCTCACAGTTGGCAGAGGTTTTCATCCATGTTTGACTGGTTCCAGAGCAGAAGCAGGAAGGCAAAAGGGCCTGGGTAGAGGAAAGCTGCTCACCTGTTGGTGGCAAGGAAGCAGAGAAGGAAGGGAGGTGCCAGAAAGGGAGATTTAGCCTCCTAGATCATGCCCTCAGGAGCCCACCTTTTCCACCAGCCCCACCTCTGAACAGCAGGTCAGCTATAGCACCCCTATAATCTGGTCAGCTTCCGAACAGTAAGGCTTTGGAGTCACTTTAAAGCATAACACAGGTGGAAGCAAAAGATGATATGATAAAAGCATCTACTGTCATTTTTGTTGTTTGCTTAGATTTGGACTCTTTTTGCATATGATATTTGTTTGGTGACAAATGACTATTTTGACTTGTTCTCAGCCTGCTGCTTGACCATTGCTTCCTGTGAGAGAAGAGGTGCTAATTACAAATCAGATAAGTAGAAGCGGCAGATTATTTCTTAGCAAACATGTGTCTTTTAGTTTGTATCTGTTTCCTAAATCTTGCGTTTCTGTGAGCTGTGACAGAGAGTGTGAGAAGACACAGAATGATGGCAGAGCCACAGCGAGCCTGATCCTACCCTCTGCTCATACTTCCCTTGGCCCACCATACTCACAAGTCCTGCACAGATCAAAAATATTAAGAATATTAATTCTGTAGTGAACATATACAGACTTCCTCTTACTCTCTAAACAGTGTGGTTTGACAACTATTTGCACAGCATTACGTTGTGTTTGGTGGTTTGAAATACACAGTAGGATGCATGCAGGTGCCATGATTTGGATCTCCAGTGTCCTCTAAAGGCTCATGTGCTAAGGAGGCTCAGTCCTCAGCTGATGGTGCTAGAGGTGGTGTCTGGTGGAAAGAAATGGGTCATTGGGGACATATTCTTAAATGGAGTACTGGGACCCTTCTCCTGCTCTTTACTTCCTGCCTGCTGTGACATGAGTGGTTTTTGATGTTCTCTTTGCCGTAGGCCTGAAACAATGGGGCAAAGGAACCACGGATGGGAACCATAAACTAAAATAAATCATTCCTCTTTATGAACTGTTTAGCTCAAGTATTTTATCATAGCATAAACATGGAAGGGTATGTGCAGACACCGCATATTTTCTATAAGGGACTTGAAAATCTCCAGCAGGGTCCTGGGGTTGATACTGTATTCAGAAAATCTTGGTGACAGTTTTCTCCTTTGCCTTTCGCAACCTTGCTTTCGTAATGGAAGGTGATTGAAGCACCATAGAACAGGTTGAGGAGAGGAATAAGTTGGATGAGAGGGAAAATAGGGGTGCAATTATTAACTGATCTGTTGATTTACTACTTATGCCTTTTCTTTCAGCGTAGACACCCACAAGCACCTTGTCAGTCAGAGCAGGTGCTTGTTTCGGGAGTGGACTGCTTAAGTATGCTTCTACTTTCTTGTCAATTTTACATGCAATAGCACTTTTGTTATTTTTTCTCTTTTAGGGCACCAATGCCTCTGCTCTGGAAAAAGACATTGGTCCAGAGCAGTTTCCAATCAATGAACACTACTTTGGATTGGTCAATGTAAGTATTTAAAATGCACTATTTTTATCAAACATTTTAGAATATTTGATGCAACTCCGCTATCATTTTCATCATTATCAATTTTTAAATTGCTTATTGTGCTTTAGTTAAAGAAGAAACAAAATTTTGCAGAGGGAGCATTTTAATCTATATTTGAAATCTATATTTTATTATTTATTAAAATCTGTATTTTAATCTATAGTTGTCCCAGAAGGAAAGAATTTAATTACTACATTTTTGGGTCAAATTCATGTCTTCGCTTTCCCATGCTTGGAGGGATTTTGTTTGCACACATAACTTTTGTAGCTGAGTTGCTTTTGTACATCTTCCTTTTTTGTTATCTGGGTGAACTTTACAGGTAGTCTTTGTTTCAGTGAGCATTAGTACCACCAGAGTTTTAAAAGTGTTACCAGCTCATCATCAGTGTAACTTGGTAGGGTGTGTAACTTGGTAGGGTACGTACCTGGAACAGAAAGAGGCTGTGGGGGAAAAGCTGGGACTAATTTATCTCATAATTATATAACCTCATTTTACTGGTGCTCAGCACTAGTCCCCTTGTGTCTGGCTAGACTTACAGCTTCTTCTTCCTTGACAGTTGATGATAACCAGGTACTATGGCAATATTAGGTACCCTTCCTGAGCATTCTGTCTTATCTGATGCTTTCTCTCTGGGGTGGAAGTCTTGAATTATAAACAAGTTATCAAGTGTTAACTTATAAACACATGACTTCCTGGAAAATTTGCTCTACACTTGGTGTGTCAGTGCCCTGGCATGATAAGGTGAAGCTAGAAATACTCTGTCACTAATTCCTGCTTGTGAGATAAAGAAAGAGCATTGGCCTCAGTGCCATATAGCCCTGCGTTTGAATTCTGCCTGTGGTATTCACTAGCTCTATGTTCTGGGACAAGATACTTGCCCTCTATGAGGTTTCAGTTTACCATCTGTCAGACTGGATTGTGATGATTTCTGCCTCCTAGGGTAGTGATGGCAAACTGTTTAGGGCTTTCAATGACAACGAAAAGCCAGCTGTGGCACGTGTGCCATAGGTTCACTACCATTGCTCTAGGATGCTAGTGAAAGATGGATGAAAGCGTCTATGTAAGACGCTGATATGAAGCTGAGGCGTGTTGTAGACACCTGCTGCACATTAGTTCCTTTCCTTTCCCAAGAGTTGTTCACTGGGTCAGGGCCAAGTATTATTGGAAGGTGTGTGGGTAGAGATGAGACACCGAGTGGAAGAGAGAAGAGTGGATGGAGAAAGGCTAAATAAAGCCCTGGAATAAGGAGATTATATTGATAAAATACCAGCTTCTAATTTTGTTTGTTTGTTTGGTACCAGGGATCAAACTCATGACCTCGTGCTTGCCAAAGAGGCACTTACACCACTGAGCTAAATCCCCAGCCCCTGACTTCTAATTTTAATACCATTTTTTAAAAAACCATTGTGCACAGGCCTCTGCTTAGCTCTCTGAAGACAATTCTGCCGAGGCTAAGGAAAATACAAATGCAGACTGTGGGGAAAAAAAGAAGTAAGATCATTTTTTAGTTTGTGGAAGAATTGTGAGATTTGCATTTATTAATAGCTTAATTTATGATCCTTAAAATAGCAATTTATGAAAATTTCAAATTCTCTAGAAAAAAGTTTGCCTCCTATTATATAATTGTGTCAGATGAAAATATATAAAAATAGGAAATTTTCTGGCTCAGCATAAGCAGACATGTCATAGCATAGAAGAACACCTGTCTCACTCTTGGGTAGCCCCACAAGCCAACAGTCAGTTCTGAGAATGTCTGTGTTCTATTTTAATCTTTCACCATACTGGGTAGTCTGTGCTATAGATCTTGTTATTTCCTTAGAGTATTTTCCTGTTCATTAAACCATGTAGGAGCAATTCTAAAGTGATGGTCTCAGCTGTGTTCTCCCAGAGTTGGTCTTCCAGTCACATGGACACCAGTGGGATGATCATGTTCCCTTCTGTAATCACAATCTTGGAGTTCATGATTTCGAGAGGTATAAAATATTGTTGTATGGGCTCTGATATGAGTGCAGGATCCAGGAACTTGGGTTACACTGGGTTGGGACAGTTGCTACCCTGGAAGTAATGGGAGGGAAGGTAGTTTAGAAGGTAGGAGCTGGGAAGTTGGGAGAGTGGCTTGAGAACATCATTTGCCTTTGTTGCTGCGGGGTAAGGACGCATCTGGTACAGCAGGCAGGGACGCTGGAATCTTGAAAGTGGGAAATAAAAGTCCATTTGGTTAAGGCTGATTCAGCTGTGCAAGTTCCTAGTTCCTTAGCTGCATTTTGATTTGTAATTTTAGTTTGTCTGTCAGGGGAGTTTTGATGTGCTGGAATGTGGGATCTTTTATTTTGCCAGCTATTACTTGGTCTTCAAATAAAGAGATTTTTTTTCCTCTTTTTCCCCGCTATGTACCAGATGGTGTCATTAGATGCTTTACCTAGACAGGAGGCTTATGGTAATTTTATAGAGACTTGTATTGGTTAGAGAAGTACCAGAATGGTATACAGTAAGCCTCCCTTACCTGTGGGGGATAAATTTTAGGGTCCCTAGTAGACTCCTAAAACCATGAATAATAACGAACCCTATATATACTAGTTTTTCCTATACACACATGCGTATGATAAAGTTTAATTTATAAGTTAGGCACAATGTGGATTTAACAAAATAACATGTTCCAATACCATAGAACAATTAAAACAATTTATTGTATAACAAGATGATCACTATCACTACAAGGCCATTATGAAGTAAAATAAGAGTTCCCTGAACATAACAGCACTGTGACAGTGACTGTGGACTGATAACTGAGATGGTTTCTGAGTGACTAACGGGGCAGCAGCATATTCAGCATGGATGTGCTGTAGGGTGTGATTTGCGTCCCAGGCAGGATCATGTGACATTTCATCACACTACTCAGCACGGTACACAATTGAAAACTTAGGAATTGTGTTTTCCTGTAATTTTCTGTTGAACATTTTCAGATTGTGGCTGACTACAGGTAACTGAAAGTGTGGAAATTGAAACCACAGCTGAAGAGGGATTGTTGTATGCTTTTATCTGTGTTCCTGTTCCTCGGTGGTCACTGGTGTTTAGAGTAGTTAATCAGTTTTCCGATATAGTGAGCAGGGCTTCAACACAAGGAAATCTGGGTGGATTCGTGGAACCTGGCCTCCTCCCTCTCCCCACCTCTTGGAGAGGTGGTTTGTCTCTGGACAGTGGTCTGAGCCTCCCTTCTCGTCCTCTGGCAGTTTGGGAACACATGCTACTGCAACTCTGTGCTTCAGGCGTTGTACTTCTGCCGGCCATTCCGTGAGAACGTGTTGGCATACAAGGCCCAGCAAAAAAAGAAGGAAAACTTGTTGACGTGCCTGGCAGACCTTTTCCACAGCATTGCCACGCAGAAGAAGAAGGTTGGCGTCATCCCACCAAAGAAGTTCATTTCAAGACTGAGAAAAGAGAATGGTGAGTGTCGTGGAGTGTCATGGTTCTAAGGTTCTGAAATCAGAAAAGCTGGCATTTCTGTGTATCCTCAACATGTAAAGCTTTTTTAAAGGGGGAAAATAAGTGTAGCCACCTACTCAGGTGTCATTTGTAAAAACAAAATGTTTGTTTTCCTGTATTCATTACACATTAAGCAAAAGTGGATTAGAGATATGCTTTAAAATTCAGATATAGCATCTCATTTTGGAATTAAAAAAAAAATCTATTCTGGGTAGGATTATTGTATGAGAAAAAATTGCCCAAAGCAGTCTCCTCAGTGGGACATTCATCAGATTAGATGGCCTGCTGTAATAATTGAATGAAATAGTACCCTCTTATGAACTTGTCATAAATAATTAGAGTAAGTACATATTAAATAATCAGGTCCTAGCGATACTGTTGTAAAAATAATACCTCTGATTTTATTTGCCAAGATGATTGAAGGATATCAAATTAATAATCTTTGTATGACAAAAATATCCTGCTGTCATCTCATTAAAAAAAATTTTTTGTCTTTTTTTTTTGTGGGGGAAACTGGTGGTAGAAGCGAGCTGTGTGTTCCAAGTTTTGTACTGGGATTGCTTCTGACTATGGAAATATTTGAAGTGGCAGCTCATGTTTTTCCCACCTCCTGCCTTACTCCAATAGGCTTGTATGATTAATTAGATGTTTGTTTAGTTTGATTGCTGTCTTTTAAAGTTATGCTTTATCCATACTAGAATGAAAGTAATTTGAGTAGAGAAGAAGACAGAGCTCTCCCAGTCTAGTTGTGAATGTGATTCGTAATGGGTTTCACAGCTATACTCAACCCAGTTGTCCTGATGGCAAAGAGCAGCAACAGGCTTCTGGGGTCATTTGTAATTGGTTTCAGAACACTATCAGATAAACACAAGCTCCTACATATTTTTCATTTCCCTTACGTGTTTCAGTTAAGCTTGTTTTCAGGTTGGCCCAGGGTTCAATATGAGTTTTGGGGAAGACACTTCAGTTGCTTTGGATGTTTTATGCAGTGATTAATTGGTTACCAGTAGTAACATCATATTAAATATTAATATTTGTGAGGAATCTTTCAGGTAATTTCTGTTTTTCTGTACAAAAAAAATTTGAGTCAGTTTTTATATATACAACTATAGAAAGGTAGAGGAAATTGTTGGGTGTAGGAGATGGAAATATTTTGGAACTTTCCTATGGAAGCTGTATAGTAGAGATGAATTTACTTATATGTGTATGTCCACCCTTTCAATATAAAAAATTGAAGTGTGGCCTGTAAAACTAAGCGTGTCTGTTTGCTTTGAAATAATGACCTGCTTCTTTCTAGATCTCTTTGATAACTACATGCAGCAAGATGCTCACGAATTTTTAAATTACTTGCTGAACACTATTGCGGACATACTGCAGGAAGAGAAGAAACAAGAAAAGCAGAATGGAAAATTAAAAAATGGCAACATGAATGAACCTGCAGAGAATAATAAACCAGAACTCACCTGGGTCCATGAGATTTTTCAGGGAACGCTCACCAATGAAACTCGATGCTTGAACTGTGAAACCGTGAGTGTTAGCGGACTCTCATGTAACTTGCTTAACGTATTTAAACAGGCTGTGTTGTGTGTGAGTGCAGTGGGGTGTTATAATACTTATCAGTTGCCTTCAGTGTTTGTAGACAATTCTGTTTTGTGAATCCTCTTCATGCAAAACCCAAGTGTGGATTTTTGGAAGCATATCTTCTTCCCAGGTGCATCAGCTTGCTAAAGCACAGTGATGAGGAAGGTTCTTCTGAAGTGCTGGATTGCTTTGCACTGTGAGCCAATTTTAGGATTTACAAATTAAACTCTTGAACTAGATCTTCCAAATGTTATTTTTGAAAAGAGTTTGGTCATGAGAAAATCAGATGTGGTTTGGAACAGACCACTACTGGGATGTATGGGAATCAGCTTTCGTAGCAGAGTGAGCTTGAGGTCAGAAGAGGATCAAATCCTTTTTCTCCAAGTGAGTTAGACAGATGTGGCAAGACACTCGTGGTCCTGTTTCAAGGGTTGGGTGAGCTTATATGTTTGAAAGGGTTTGGTCCACAGTGGGCACTTAACGTTAGTTAAATTTGAAACATCTATTGCAGAGCACAATTTAGGATGTTATAGTTGCTTGTTATATTTGATTTAAACTTTGCACAGTGTCATTTTTGCTAGGTGAAAGCCCAGCTTTGGTCTAGGTTGCCTGAGTTTAATGGTAGCTCTGAAATTCAAGAGCTGTGGGACTGTGTATAAATTATTCCTTTCCTCCTCTTCACTATCATCTGTAAAATAGGGGTGATAAGAGCGTGTGTCTCATGGGTTGCAGGGAGGATTAAATGAATCAACATTTGTAAAACATTGAGAACTATGCTTTGCACATAGGAAGTATGCAATAAATATGAGCTCTTGTTATTTATTACAACTATTAAAAGTGTAGACTGATTACATCAGAAGTCTCAGCTTTTTGTTACATGAAAAATTCTGTGTGATGATGTATTTTCCTGGTAAGAGACAGTAGCTTCCAACAGATTCTGCTAAGGGCCCATGTATTTGGATGGTTTAAATGACAGAAGTTTATTTCTCACAGTTCTGGAGGCTTGAAGTCTGAGACTAGGGTGGCCGCAAGGCTGGATTCTAGTGAGGGATCCTTTCCTGGTTTCTTACTGGTCCTCACATGGTGGAGACAGACCATGCTTTCTCATGTTTCTTCTTACAAAGGCACTAAGTCCATCACCAAGGCTCCACTCTGGGGTCTCACAGGGGCCCCATTTGCAAGTAACGCTACATTAGGGATTCGAGTTTCCACTTAAATTTTGGGAGGATACAAAAATGTGGTCTTTTGCAAGTTGTGACTCAGAAATGGGTAAAAGATGTGGATTTACACCTTATCTGTGTTAGGCAGGAGGCCTTTTGTTTCTGGCAATCTTTAGGTTGTTCTTATGACAGTGTTTCAATCAGTGTTCTGATTTGTTTCCAGCAGAAACAATTAGAAAACATGGCTAAGCAAAAAGAAAGCACTATGGAGAGTTGATAAATTTGTAATATTTTCTAAAACCTATGATCTCATTAGATCAGAGATAATCATTTGAATGTTTCAAAATATAACTTGCCAGAACATTTTCTGCACGAACGTGTTTTTCTAGAGATCCTCTCTCTTTTCCTCTTCTCTCCCTCCTTTTCTCCTTTTATATTTTATTCCAGTAAAATTCAAATGAGTACAGAAGTAGAGAGAATAGTGTAATAAATCTCTCATGTGTAATATTCATGATCAATGATTGCTTTCCCTTTGATCTGTCTTATTTCATTCATGCTCCTAGCCCTCACCAAACTGGTTTTTTTGCACATTCCAAAAAATTTTATTTGTAATTTTATTATTTGTATTATCTCTAAAAGGTAATAAGTATTTCTTAAAAGTATGATACCATTACCACACCTAGAAATTATTCTTTGGCATCATTATTCACTCAGCATTCAAGTTTCTTGGTAGTGTCATATGTTTTTAACATAAAAATGAATTTGCCTCTTGACCCAAATATGGCTCTTCATTGCATTTGATCAGTAATCTATAGTTTATATGGATTAATAATGATCTATAGTTTATCCTCACTGTTTTTCTGCCTTTGCAATAAAACTGTTGAGGAATTAGGTTGTTTATCATTGTAGAATTTTCCACATTGTGGACATATCCTTATGTTATTTAACATGTGCTGCAAAATGCCTGTGTGTGTCAGAAGATACATACTAGAAGGATTTTAGAGAATGAAGAAATACCTGTATACTCAACATCCAGATTGGAAAGTGGAACCTTAGTAATATTCCTGAAGTCAACTGAATGCGTCTTTGCAATTTAAGTTTTTCTTATTTTCACCCATTACCCCAGAGTTAGTCATGTTCATTCTTGTTTTATCAGTGTGTAGTGTACTATTGTAGGAATATGCCATAATTTATTTTTAATTTTTGTATGCTATGTCTAGAGTTTTTTTTTTGTCATACTGGGGATCAATCTCACAACCTCGAAGCTTGCCAGGCAGGCAGTTAAGCCACTGAGCTAAATCCCTAGTCCTTTTTTGGAGAGAGGTTCTGGGGATCAAACTCACAACCTCACGCTTGCCAGGCTGCTGCTTATGCCGATGAGCTATATCCCTGTCTCCCTCCCTTTTTGTTTTGGTACCAAGGATCGAACTCATGACCTTGTATTTGCCAGGCAGGTGCTTATGCCACTGAGCTAAATCTCCAGCCTCTGCTGTGTCTAGTTGTTGAGGCTACTGGAACCAAACTTCTTGAAAGAGTCTACTAATACATATAGGCAGTCTTTCTGGGGTGTCCCATAGGGCAGAATTGCTGGGCCAATACAGCAGGCCAATATTAGGAATGCTGAATTGTTTCTAGAGTGGTGTAAATTATAGTAATAGATTTTCTGATGTTAACTGACTTGTATTTTTGTGATAAACCAAACTTGGTCTTTTATTTATATTGTTGGGCTTTAAAGTCTGAAATTTTGTTTAGGGTTTTTGCAACTGTACCAATAAGGTTGACTTGAACTTTTTCTACCTCATAGTGTACTAATTTGCTTTTGGAATTACCATTCTTATAAAATAAGCTTTTATTTGGAAGAGTTTGTATACATTTTGATCTTTCTGATCTTGGAATGTTTATCGCTCACTATGTAGTATAGCATCTTTGAAATCTCTAGTTCAGTTTCACTTGTTTTTGATATTTATGTGAAGGGTCATCTATCCCTTTGTGTCCTAGTATCTTTTGTTGAATAGGTCTCATGAGATTTCTTTGTGTTGTTGAATGATGCTGTCGTTCATTCATTGTCATTGTCATATAGTGTTATATTGCATGAATGAACCATGATTTATTACTCTACTTTCATGAATATTTGGTTGTTTCCCATCTGAGGCAACTATGAACAGTGCTGCCATGAACATCTTACCCATAAAATGTAGTATACATAATGCAAGTTCCTCTTGGGGATATGCATGAAAGTAGATTTGTTAGGTCATATAATATGCTTATCACGACTATCATTTGAAAGTGTCAGATTCCTGAGGTAGTGACATTAGGTTACTTGTTTCCCCATATCTTTGTCCCTGAGAAGTGTCAGATATCACTTTTGCTAATCTACTGGCTGGATAACTACCCTTTTACTTAGGAAATGTAGTTTCTCTGCCTCCCTCCCACCCCTACATCTGTTATGTAAAGGTAGGAGGCGCTGAGCATATAGTGAGAGTTTGGCCTTCCTGGAATTTCTACTGTGAAAACAGATACTAACAACAAAACTAGCAATTGGCTTGTGTAATTATGACTACAAAACACTGTGAAGGAGAAGTACAGACTGCTCTGTGAGTTTACGATATGGAAACTGAACAAAGGGGCATCACGTTCATGTATCTGCAGTAAGGGATCTGCTCCACATTGCCCAGCTGGTGTAGTCCTTTTTGGTTATCTTTGAAGTTGACACTGATACTGAATCTACCTTGGCAGTATTCCATATGGATTTTCATCTGGGGACAGGCCCAGTCATATGGATTTTCATCTGGGGACAGCCTCAGTCATATTTATGGGTTTTTAAAAAAATCTATGAACAGGTCACCTAATTCCAGCAAATGCAAAGACTGCATCATATTTATACTGCCAAAGCTGTTCTCCAGCTTGCTATTTCCTGGAAGGTTACCATGGACCAGAAGCCTATGTCAAAATTTCTCCAAAAATTTCAATACCACAGTATTTAGTGGGAGTCCAAATGTTTATTTTGTGAAAGTAGATGAGAGTATATGGTTGCATGTTTCTGGAAGATGAGATTTTTTTTTTCCTTTTTTTTTTTTTTTTGGTCCAGTGATTGAACTTACAACCGTGTGCTTGCCAGGCAGGCACTGTGTCACTGAGCTGTATCCTCAGCACAGATGGGATACTCTTAACTTATATTTTTTCAGCCCCTTAAATGATTGTATGGTATGAGGCAAGAGGTTGTTCTGTTTTGTTTTTGTTTCCCCCTTCATTTTCTCAGGTCCTTCAACTGGACAGGATTCTTGGCGTCATCTAACCCTTTTTCTCCCAGTGCCCAAGTCCCTCCTGGGGTGCCCCAGCCAGTTGGTTGCTAGCATCGGTGGACACTGTCCAGAGGCAGGGAACTCAATCTCCCAAGGATGTATTCCATTTTTAGAAAGCTCTAATTGTTAGAAAGCCTTCTACTTTCTAAGAAAACACATTATCCGCAAGCTATTCCTGTTGTCTGTCGTAAGATGCCAGAACCTAGTAGAAACCTGGAGCCCCCTTTGAAGAGCTTTCTGCCAAGGGCAAGCAGCCTGCAGACTGCTTCTATCAGAATTGCCAAGACCCACATTTGTGAGATCTCACTGGGGATTTAAACTGCCCTGGATCCCAAGCAGCAAATTGGCCCCTGGGGGCACTTTGCTTTGTCTCTCCTTAGCCTGTCCTTAGCCTGTTGTTACTTCACTTGTGGAAAACCTATGTGCCAGTCTCATAGTTTCAGAAAACAATGATTTTCCCCTTAGGTCTCCCCCTTTGTAGATG